AGGACTCCTCGTGATTCCTGCAGACTGTGGCGAGGTCTCGGGGGCCGGCCGGGCCGGCGTGGGGGTGGGAAGAGATGCGGAATCTGGCCGGGTTTGGGAAGGAAGGAGCCGGCCTGCCAGCTCCATGCAGTCTTTCATGAATAAACACTCTAATTGGGGACATCACAGATAATGGGTCTGACTCCTTTCACTGGAGGGCTGGATCATGATTTGCTAATTGGATATTCCTGGGGTGGTTGAGGCGCCCTCACTGGCCCTGAGTGATTACTAGTTAATGGGGTTTTAGAAGTTCCTATTTCAGACTGAAAAAGGGAGCCAAGCTAAGGAAAAGGAGCCAGTGCCCTTCCCGGAATGGCATCGGGAAGGAATCCCAGCATCTGGGACAACACACGGTGGCACCCGGCTGCAGGAGCACACGGACACGGGCACTGCCTTTTTGAGTTGAGCGCCCCTATCTTACCCCAGGACTGACCCCTCCCTTGCAGGGGTATTTGATCCTGGAGGTAAAATGCCCTCCCTCACCACTGGCCTTTGGGCTCACTCCTTTGCAAAGAACAATTCCACGGAAAGCCAGGCTCAGAGGCCTGCAAAACCTTCAGGATGAGTCTTCATATAAGGGCAGAGAAGTCTTTGGAGTCTCTGGAGTTGAGCAAAAGGCAGGAGGATGCCACCACTTCGGAATGGTTGCAGCGATGGGTGCCTCCCATCTGCCCCCTACAGGGCAACGGCGGCATCACCGCAGGATCACAGTGGAGGGAGCTCCCAGGGCAGATCGCAAGGCAGAAGGTGGGTGATCTTTCAGAGGTGGTGTTCCGCCCTGTCTTTTTTGGGGCTCAGGGCCACACTGGAGGCTGTGGCCTTCCCTAGCAAACTGTCAGGGGGACAGAGGGAAGAGGAAATGAGAGAAAGTTAGGACAGAATAAAAGAAATGTCTTTCTGCATCAAAACTCAAGGAAATTCCATGCCAAAAAAAAAAAAAAGTTCTCATAAACTAAAGGTTAGCAGCTCTGGCCAGAGCCAAGAGCATACTATGTGCCAGAGAATATTCAGTTTCTCTTCCCATAAGAAGAATTCTTTCTTGATGAAATTTCTGGATAGTGCCAGGTCTATAGACCCTCCGTGGCTTTGGTGCATTCATGAGCAGAGTCCTGGCTTGGTTGATTCCCAGTCATTAGTCTTGCTGGGACTCTTCCTGGACCTCAGCTACTGGTCTTGTCAAACTGTCTTTCACTCATGTGTTAAAGACTTGGAGTGCCTGGAGTACAATAATTATCTCCCTTTATAGTGGGAATGCTGACTGCTCAAACTGTCTGTGTTCACACCCCAAGTAACAGGCAGACCTGGAACTTGACCCCAAAGCCTTGGTCCTTATCCATTGTGCCACAAGCCCTTCCTTAGATTTCACCCCATTCAGTATTTCTTTTCTGAAGACAGTTGACCAGATGGGAGACAGCTTGGATTTACCACGTGGAAGAGCAAGAAACCTGATTTTAGTTTTGTAGAAATGGAAAGAATAGATTCCTAGTAAAGGGTACTTGTTCTATTGGTAGTTTTTTAGAGCTCTACCTTCTTTTTTTAGATGCAGTGATAACTGGTCACTTCAAACAAACCAAACTGGAAATGATTATGTTTATCCTCAAAGAAGCCTTGTTAATGACCCCAGGCACATTGTTCAAGCTCTCAAAGACCAATTTTCCCACTGCGTATGGTCCATAGGAATTGATATCTTCCAAGTTCCCTCCCAGTTTCGTATCTGTGTGTCAAGAGTTCTGCATGTGTCACAAGAAGACAGTTTGCTGTCTCCCATGCAGTATTTCTGCCAGAGTAAGAGAATCGGTTATAGAGTATTAGGGGTTTTTAGGGCTCACGATTATCAGTACTTGTGTGTTTTCTTCCTTCTTTCTCCTTGCTTTCCCTCTCCTGGTGCCTGTCTCCGTTTCCTTGAGCCATCTATCTCCTGGCATCCCTGGTACAGCTCCATCTGGCTCATTTGTTTTTCATAAATTAACATGAGTTTTGCATGCATTCTCCTTTTCATGACTGTTCCAAAGTACACCATAGGGCAGCAATAAGGCTCTATGATCATATATGCCATCAGCCAACAATGTTTGAACATGCATCCTAATACAGGTGTGTTCACTTAGACATATTTAAATTAAATAATATACACAAATGCATATTTTATAATGAACATAAAAATAGAAAGTAAAAAATCCAAACATAGTTATACCATACCCTGTGGGTCATTTGGGGCCAGCTTGCCTCTCTCCAAAAGAGATTCCCCGTATCCAGGATAGTGGAGGCCTTAGCTCCTTTGGGCTTAGGTGGCAGACATTTGCAATTAAACACTTGTTCAAAAGAGGTCTATGACCCAAGAGTTTTCAGACATGTGGTGAAAGAGAAGATGAAGGATGGCAGGCCTAGACTCTTCAAGGGAGGTCAAACATCCAGACACTTACGGGAATTCTATTAATTTTTAACATCAATTTGTTGTTTTGGTGTCACATTGTGGAACCAAGACATCTAAGGACCAAATATGACCCGTGCTCTGCCAGTTTGTCACCCTGTCCTACATTCTAGAGGCAATATTTTGTACCTTGTTAAAACCAAAATCCCTCAAGGAGATATGGCATTAACCTGGATTAGCTCTTTTCACCAGAGTGTGAATGAATTTGACAAGTACAGATAATGGTGGTGAAGAGAGAAAACTTTAATAAGAGCCAGAGAAACTAAGAGGAAAGACCCACAAAGGGCACACCTCTGAAACTCAAGTGCCCAAGGATCTGATCCTAGTTTATACTACCCTCCAGTCCAGCACAGGCTACCCCAGGATGTGATGGAGGGGCAGAAGTATCAGACCCTTAAATAAGAGCTTTTCTCTGTCTGTTTGGGCAATGTTGAGTTCTCTGAACTTGAGAAACTAACAGGGCCTGCTTTCATGATCTGAACCTAGAAAGTGTCTATTTTCTCCAAGGTCTTGGGCAAGGTTAAACACCTCCCTGCACCCCCTCCAATACTTCCCAGCTTCTGCCCTAGTGACCTTCCTAAGCACCATGCAGTCTGCCTTCTGAGACTTGCTCTGGGAGGTGTATGCAAAAGATATGCTAATGAATTAATATAAATGAGGCAGGTGGAACTGGAATGAGGATGTCCAGAGAAAATTCAAGGAGACAGAGACAGGCTCAGGAAGAGGGAGAGAAAGAGACAAAATGACTAAGCAAGTAACCCACGGAGGCACAGAAGGGAAGAAAGAGATGCCTGCCTTGTTTGGTGAAGAAAACACATTAGAAAAGAGAAAAAGTGAGCAGGAAAATTATCCTACTACTAAGCAAAACTACAAGTCAAGGGTCAAGACAGGTGTTTCTCAATTCAGTGGACATATGTTACCTTGGACTCTGCTGGGAAATAATAGTGATACTAAGGCATTTGCTATATGCCAAGCTTTGTCAACACATACAAAATATCATGTAATGTATTTAATCTTCACAACATCCCTGGAAGATAGTTGCTATTCTTATCTCAATTTCATAAATGAGGAAACTGAGGCACAAAGATGGTAGTGTCATCAACCCACTGTCACACGACTGACAGGTGGCAGGTCTGGGACTGATTACTGAGGTGGTGGGCTCAGAGCCTGCCGCCCTGCACAGGAAGATCCCATACCAGCTGCAGAGGACGCATGTGGTTGAAAATCCATCATATCCATCTTTGGACAGAAAGCCCTTTTAGCTTCATTACTTTATTTTTACTGCTAGCTAGTATTTAGTGGGCAGAATGGCCCACTCAGCTGGAAGGCAGTGTGCGGGCTTCAACTTCTAGATAAGGTTGTTTCCTGCTCAAGAAATCTCTGGTATATCTATTAACTATCATAGCTCATTAAGTACATGCTTAAAATGGGGTTAAAAAATCATTTCAGTATAGACAAACTATATTTGAGATCTGTTCATTTAGGAGACTAATATTCCCGCCAGAAACACTGAGATTCATCATACATGGTAAATATTTGTTTGGACAAATTTTAAATTGAGGATCACTTGATTGATAGGTAATTGTTTCCAGCGTCAGCTGAACACTCTCAGCTGTCATTGCCACATCACAAATTGATGTGTTGTTATCTTTTTCTGTTTTCTTTCTTTCTCTCTCATTTAAAAAAAAAATTTTTCCTCAAAATTACTTTCTTATGACCAACTCTTACGTTGATTTATTCACTAAGGAAAAAGCACATGACAGTCTTTTTTATCTCCAAGGGACCCAAGATGTCAGGAACCCCAGAAGGGTTTAGGGCCGGACCCCTCCAGCTCCTGAGCGGCATTCTTCTGCACCCATGTTCTCCGGGAACTTCTGGCGTCTCTCCTCCTCCCCCTCACTCCCCAGTTAACCTGATAGCTTTCCAGGGGAGATAGTCAAGGTTCAGAGGGAGGACTGCCTGTGATGCCCTGAAAAAAAAAAATACATATATATATATATATATATGTATTTTTTTTTAGACTTAGACTTCCTTAGGAGACCTAGGAGTTAGAAGATGGGACAGAAGTGCATAGGTTCAAGTCAGGAAAGCTTCCTGGAGGTGGTCTTTTGATTTTTAATAAAGAAATAGAAGGCATAGGAGAAAATATTGATCAATTCTTTTCCTTAGGGATAGTGACTAGATAAGAAGAGAAATATTCTGTTTACATTAAGTATATAAGTCTGATTCTTATTAGACCTGCTCCCTAGTTCCTTTCAATTCCCTGGCCTATAAGATAATGCTTAGTTTCATGGTTTCTTTACCAATAATAAATATGATTGTTATGGCTAATTAACACAGCAATCTGTATTTTCATTTACTCCTCACTGCTAGAAAAGTTAGTGGCCAGAAGGAAAAAAAGTGAGATTCTCTGAAAGGTAATTTATTCAAATACTTCCCTCGTTATTTTTTTTAATAATAAGTTTAAAAATCTATTATTATAGAGTAATTGCTCATCAAATTTCTTTTTAAAAGTCAAAGCAATTTTCAAATTATAAAGAACTTCTCAAATGTGTCTAGATAATTATGAGGCTGCATTTTATATAGCTCCTGTACCACAGTAGGCTGCAAGGCCTAGTATAATCTTTACCTCTGGAGCCCAAGATTGTACCATGTTCACATGTGAGGCACCATGTGACACATGTTAAATGTACAGCAATTCCGTGGTTGCAAATGCATACATATGGAAATTATCTATCAGCTTCCTATAATATCAGTTGCTAGGACCAACACAAATTACTTTCTCCCATTGGAAATTTTAAGGATAATGCTCTGTAATGGATGGATGGATAGTAGATAGATAGATAGATAGATAGATAGATAGATAGATAGATAGATAGATAGATAGATAGATAGATAGATAGATAGATAGATAGATAAATGGGCTATGATTTCAACTTGTAGGAAGTGAAATGGGTAACAATCCCTGGAGAGTTGGAATGTCCAGAAGGACTCTTGCCATCAGCAGAACAGTTGCATCTAACCTTGGGGGGCAGGATTGTGGTGACTTTCAGCCCCTTCCACAGTTTTCCCATCAAAACAGAAAATCAGAAACCAAATGTGGTTCTGAGGTTCCTTGCCACAATTTCAACCTACCAAACAGCATCCAAATAATCCTGTTTTTAAAAACTGTAGATATCTATGTGTAAATATGAATCTGAGCATCTGTGGGTTTTCCTTAAAAATGCAAAGAAAGGCCGATTTTGGAATCTCTAGGGTTGTGAATTGATTCTAGGAAATAATGCAGAACTAATGCAAACTGGAGGATTTCCCCCATTGATCACTGGTATGTGTGTATCCACACACAAGCAGTAGTATCTGCACATACACTGCACCTTAGTGCCCTTTTCCTATTCAGCTCTCTAATGTGAGTTTGAGTTGGTGTGCTCACATCCTGGGACCTCCCGGACACCTCTGGGGCCCTTGGTCATCTAATAGCTGCTTCTCTCGGATACCTAGGCAGTGAATATGCCGACAGCTGCCAGGAAAATGGTCTGGTTCGCTTTAAACATTGCTCTTCGTCATTCTTCTCTACCCCCCAATACAGTTGCCGGCTGTGATCTGCTGCCTTTCAACTTGGAATAAAATACATTACTTATGCAGTGAATGTTTTTAATGTAACAAAGCAAAGGAATAAAAATGCCTTACAACAGTTTTATTAAAAACAAATTCCCACAGTAAATACATATACACTCTGTTTCTGGGAGCAAAATAGCCAAGGACTTCACTGCTAAGTGCTCTGGGAAGTGCTTATAAATTACTTGAAATAAAAAACATTGTTGCCTGGACATCAGGGATGAAATGCTGCAGTTTGTAATAAATTAACACAGAACTTTACTTCCCCTCCTCGAACAAAGCAGCCATTTGTCTGAATAACCCACATTCAGCTGTGAGTTATATTTTCACAACCTCAACTGCATTCATTTGCAAATTATTCTGCAGTTTTAATGCTCAAGTTTTAAATACCTTAAGAACTAATAAATAAAGCAAAGTAGAGCAAACAGTTGGCTTGTAGTTTAAAAACTGCCCTAATTTCTGTTTTTCTTTTGGCTTTTTTCCTTTCCTCTTTTCCCTTTTTCTTTTTCTTCTTTTCTTCTTTTTTTTATAAATGGCATAAAGTTTCTTTAAACTACATTTTAAAAATAGGAGGCTAAAATGAATTTGGGGGTATTCACACCAGAGAGAAGTTTCCATAATTCCATTAACTGTGAAGGTATTTGGTAGTACTCATTTTACATTTTTAAGACTTTTCTTCTACCAATACTTTAATTTAGTGACAGAATAATTTATAACTATCTTTGAGGTTTTTCCCTTTGTGTGTAACTTTTGTCTGCTAGTCTTGGAATTGGTTAGATTTTTTTTCTCTCTCTCCCTCTACTAGACTTTGTCCAGAAAAAAAAAATCTCAAAAGAAAAGTCGTGTCACTTCCCTTGAGTTATTTTGATTATAAAACAAAAACTCTGCAAGAAAACTCTTTTCAAACCTGTTCTGTAAAACAAAACGAACCGCTTTCCAGGTTCTTGAAAGAAAAATTTGATAGAAGCACTTATAGATTCAATTTGAGATTTGAAGGTTATTTTCCTGGCCTAAAGGGGGGGGGGTGCGGCGAAGGCCAGTTTCCTTGTGCAGAATTACTGGCTTTGTTGGATTTCTTTGCATTGTTTTAAATAAGGTCCTGTGTAGCCAGTTGCACCGGATAAAAGTAATGTCACCATTTACAGGAAGTGGATTTGGGGAGGAAAAGTCCTCAGAAGCATGTTATTTTCAGAAGAGTGCCTTATAAAATATTTTTATAAAGTAGGAGTTGAAATCATTTAAAAATCACCCTCTTTTTATAAATCTGTTTGGAGAAAGCTCTTTTGATCCCCTCTTTCTTCTGATCCTCATCTTTTATTTTGCTTAGAGGTAAACAACGTTTGCCTCATTTAAACAACGGCATTTGCCATTGTGGTTCTTAAATAGTTTTCCAGTCACCCTATGGCAATTCATCACATGGGATAAAATGAGGATACTTTGCATCTAAGACTTTTATCACCTCCCAGAAAATGTTTGTTGTTTTTTGCTTTGGTTCTTTATTCACTCCCACCCCTACCCCCACCCCGAGCTGCGGGGGATTGTTTTAGGACATTTCAAAGCCTTTTGTGGAGAGGGAACCCAAGTCCCTCTGTGGAGAGTAAGAAATGTTGATTACATGCACTGTAAAATGGGAGATATTCCCAAATTTCCTTTTAATTAAGACATCTACATAGCCATTGCTCTGCAGAAAAAGAGAGATTTCCAAACATTTAAAAAATACGGAAGCTTTTAGAACTGCAACAGATACCCCGACCTCTCCTCGACCCTGGGGTGAGGTGGCTGTCACCTGGGGGGAGGTAAATGGACATTAGTAACTCCATCAGAGTCACATGGGGAGGGGCACCCAAAACAGATGCAGAGGTAATCACAGGACTACAGAGCTTTAATACCGCCGTGGGCGTCAGTTAAGCGAAAGGCGCTTGTCTGGTTAGCCGGGTCATTTCTGCATATGCACACAACCTTTGTCCTTTTAAAAAATCACTCTGTGATGACTGGTTTGATTCTCTGACCATCCAAGCCTGATTAAGAGCATTTGCTTAGGCCCTAAAGACTTCATAGCTGGCCACCCATCTGGTGTTAGGCTTGAGTCCGTGAAAATCCCTCAGCTTAACACTGAATATTCTTTTTTAAGACGTTTAAGTAAAAGGGCTGACATTAGCATATGTTCCCCCCAAGTGTCCTGTTGAACTTTCTGCCGGGCATTTACCCTACGACGGGCTTTCTGGATGTTGTCCAATGAGAGATTGGCTTGGAACTGTAAAATTAGCCATCTGCCTATTAAAAATGTAACCAGCTGCATCCGATGAAACACAGTGACTATTGAAATGAACTCATCCGGGAGAGAACTCGCGTCCCCTGCTTGGACATTTTTCCAACCTACTGCTGGACTGAGACACTCCACGAGCAAAGGCCCTCCGTCCTTGTTTGGAGGAAAACGGCATGACTCAAGGGTGAAGAAGGCTGAGCGGGTTTGTTTCATTGCTGAAGTTCTGGCATTTCTCAGGTTGACTTGGACCTTAAGTGTAGAATTCTCTGTTTCTTTGCTACTTGCTTTAAACATCTCTCTCTTGCAGGAGAAAGTAAAATATAAACGAGCAAATCCCTAATATCTCTCCCCTACTTCAGTATGCTGTGTTCAGATATTCCATTCCAAACCCAGGCTTCTAATAAACCTTAAAATGCAAGCCTAAAATACCCTAAGCAACCCATGATAACTTAACAACAGAGAGCTGAAGCCAGAATTATTCCTGCAAGAGCTACCGTTTCAGCAGACACTGGCTTTCCATATCTACTACAAGGTCTGTTTATTAAAAATGAGAACTTTCAATAGCTTGAGCTATTTTTCTCTAAAGCCTAATGGAGCATTAAAAAATAATTCATTAACTAATTAACAAAACTGTGTTTATTTACAGTATATAAAATGTTTCTATCAGGGAAATAACACACCATAACACAGCGTTGTGTTGACAGCGAAACATCTGCAGCTTAATTTAATGCATTTACTAAATGACGAGGGGAAATCAAAGGATGTTTAAACAGCTACTTCTCTGCCTGTGATTTTTGTTTTTCTCTCTTGAGGTCACAGGCACCAAGATGCCCCTTGGGAAGCTGCTGGAGCTGCTTTCAAAGGTGCAAAGAACAGTAATCTTTACGCAATTATGGGAGCATGGGCACTGCACACAGCTTGGCCTCGGTGCCCGTTAGAACTGAGGGATCCATACGCATGTCCTAAATGCAACAGCTCTGTAGCCATTACGTGATGTTAGATAACATGGAAATTGCCCTTTTTGTATGTCAAGATCAGTCAAATATTGACAACTTCATTACTTTCAACCTGAAATTTCCCATCTGGACAGTATCTTTCTCTCTCCTCTCTCTGTCTCTTTCTGTCTCTCCTCACTTTCTCATTTTGCCATGGGCAGTATTTTTGCAAACATACATAATTAAGCTCAGAGTGAGTATTAATCGATACATTTGCCTATTAGATTATTCTATTTTAAAATGTGTTTTTCTGGGTTCATTTTCCCACTATATATCTCCTCTCTATTGCCCCTGCCTGAAACCTTTCAGAAGCCAAAGGCTATGTATGCTTCTTTGTATGTTTGATTCCCTTATCATCCTCAGTATGAAACCCCAAGAAAAGGAGAAAGTAGTGATCATATTACAGACAATTCAGGCGGATGTGTAAATTACGACCTCTCAGGAGGAAAAATTATAGCCTGAGGAAAATAAATAAGTAACCCCAGCAACAATACATGCAATGTGACGTTCTGAGAATTTGTCCTCCATTCACTTAGACTTACAACTCAGAGTGACCTCAGGAATTACAAAATTAACTAGGAAAACATAAGCAGCTTTCCTCACAACATCCAGCATAGTCTGAGAGTCTGCCTTTGTTTTAAGTGCACAATAATAATAATAATAATAATAAAATGCTTAATTTCAACTCACCTGTGCAGAGGCCATCCCTATGCCCGTTTATAGTAGTACCCTGGATATACAACAGCCATAAGGAAATTTCAGTTTCACCTGTAGCAATTTCACCAGTTTCAGATGCAAAAAAAATTTTTTTTGAACTTTTAAGCTATGTGGAACAAATAGAATATATCACAGGTCTGTTTAAAATTAGATTTCCAAAAAAAAAAGCTAGTTCAGCAAACCTCACTTTACTGGACAAAATTGTTTTAACCATGTCCCTCTGGATTTATACACAGGAATTGTGTCATTTGTATCTTTTAACTTACAACACCAGTGTCAGTTGTGGGATTAGCTGAGTTTGGCCACATTGTGCTTTTATAGGTTGAGCATGGACTTTGGTTTGGTTCGCTCCAGGAGAACTGGGTTAGAGAACCGTCTAGGCCATGTCAAACCATTTTCCCTCTCCACTAGCTCCAGATTTGTTAAAGCAGGATACCAAATATCTGTTGCCTTGTGTCAGAGTTCCTTTTGATCAGAAACTTAGACATTACTTAGCAAATATGCTACCACAATGCTGTCTGTTAGCCTGGCAGACATTGCTAGTGGATTACCAACAGTGGTTCTCACTGACCCAGGGGCAGCCTCAGAAGGCTTCTCCACACACATACTACAAATCAATCTGAATAGGCTCAACAGATGAAATCTATTAGCTGAAACTAACAGATCCACCTAGGGATCAAATCAAGGACTCTATTACTTACCACTTTGTCTAATGTGGCCTCAATTAGCCACATCCTAACTGATCAGCTCCTTCAATTAAGCAGGTTTATTTTTCCTTTGGCTGTTCTCTGTAAGAAAAAGAGATATATATAAAAAAAACAACACATATTGAGAGTTATTGGGACCTGTAACCTCCCAGGCTATCTCCTATGATGAGGTCACAATTAACCTCAACTTGTGCTCCATCTATACTCCCCACTCTAGACCTGGACAGTGCAAAATGTTATTTAGGCTGACAACCTAAACCACCTTTGTTTCTCTCAACTATAACTATGACTACTATTCCCAGTAGACTGAGACACTTTGGAAGACTAAAGAAAATATACCCTTAAAGAATTAAAAACTAAAACCAAAAGAATTTCTGACATATTCACATCTTCTGGTATCATTTGCATTTTGGACCACGGAGATAATACTCTAATCAGAGCTCAGTGAGTGCTCATCCCTCCATAGGTTCTTCAGTAGCTCCCTATTACCTGAAAAATAGTTAGCCCAGGCACTTTTCTGCAAAAAGACAATATACTTTATCAGTCTTTATCTCTTGCAGTCTTGTCCCTCCACACCCTCCTATTACTCAACCTCTGTAAATTATTTGCCTGTATTGTTTTCTCAGACCCAGTGCCCTTGCATGGACTGTTTTCTCTGCCTGGCATATGCTATTTTCTCTGCTTGGTTAACTTCTACTTAGCCCTCAAGTTTGAATATCAGCCCAGTCTGTGCCTAAACCATGAAAGCTGAGTCCATTGTTCTCTTCCTTATGCATAACTGTATAATTGAGTTGTGAAGCAGAGAGGGTCTGAGTCCAGGCCCAAGAACAATGCTCCTGAGTTTGCAAGCCTAGCTGTCCCCTTGATAGCTGTGGGTTTGTAGGCAATCATTTAACCTTTCTGTGCCTTGACTTTCCCATCTGTAAAATGGGCATGATAGCAGCTAACTGAATATTAAGAGATAATGATATGTAATATGCTTAGAATGGCAAATAGTGTCAATAAATGTTAGCTATAATTTTCCATCATAATTTTTAACCTCCACATCTGGGAACTCCCATGGCATTCAGGGACTTTACAGGGACGTTACTCTGTTCATCCTTATACTCCCAGTTCTTAGCCTGGAGCTTCACATGGCCTAGGCACCCAGCCAAGGTTTGCTGAGGGACTTGCTACATGAAGAATAAGAAAATGGGAAAGGTGAACAAAAGGGGAAGGGCTTAGAGTAGCTGAAACATAGAGAACATATGTATCCTATTAATACATATTTATTATAAAAAGGCAGCTGAAAACACAGCTTCCTACACATGAGGCTACATATAGCGATTCATCAAGGGAAAGCACAGAATTATGATTTTTGTAGGGAAAAACCCTCACTGGGCTTATTTATTTTTCTACCCCACAGTGAGGACAGGAGGTTTGATGAAACCTGATGCCTAAATGTATGATCTTTTATCAATCTATAATTGGATTGCCAGAAATCCAAACCGCGTCCTGTCTGGCCAGCGAAGAGTCATGGTGTGAGGGAGCCTCAAGAGGCAGACGCCCAGTTAATGTCATGGAAGCAATGTCTTGCTTGTGGTGTGTGGCCCCCATTAAAGCACAGGCTCTGGGTTTGTATCCCACAGAACTGACCAGCCAGGTGATCCTGCGCAAGTCACTAACACTCTCTGTTCTCAGTTACCTTGTCTATAAACTTGGAGATAATGTGGGCATTACATCATAGGTTATTGTGAAACAAAATGAAATAATCCTCAGCAATTTCTAGACACAGCATGTGGCACAAAATTTGTACTTTATTTTTATAAAAGGAGGCTTCTCAAAGGGGACTGAGAGGTTGGGTTGGTGGAGTGGAGTGAAAGGAACTTTCCAGATAAGAAGAGATAGGCTAGGAATAACATGGTGAATTTGGCATTCTGTGGAAAAAAGTGTGCTTTCTGCTCTGCTCTGTGTTTGGATCGGCTTTTAAAACAGCCCAACCTCCGCTAACCTTAGTCGCAACACTGTGCTGAAATGTTACTCCCAGGATTTGACATTTCCTTATTCTTTCTACTGCTGTTTTCTCCTTTGTTGCTTTGAAAATATGAATTAATGATGAATACTAATGAGCTCTGTGACAAGGAGACTCCACTAACGTTGGGAGCTTCAAGACTCATGACACTTCAACAAGGGAAAGCCTAAGAATTTCCTTTCTCTGATTTCCAAACTCACATGGCCCAAATGCTTACTTTCTCCCCCTTTCCTCCTATCCAACTCCTTTATTTTAAAAATTGTTAAGGAATTTTCATGAACATGAATGAGGCTTTGAACTTGTTCATAAGAGTTTATGCATCTACCTGGAGAAGACATGAAATTGCTTTTTAAAAAAAGTATTTTTGCAATTTATGAAAATCTGAATGCCTTTTTATTGTTCTTTGCTTTCTTTTTATTTTTCTCTTTTATTGTCTCTGATGCTGTTTCATGGAGTTTGCGAATTTGTGGAGCAGCCAACCAGAGGGGAAGTTAAGTTGTTGTCACGGAACATGTAGTGACTTCCAGGCTGATGCCAATTTCCCTCCCTTTCCAATAAAAAAGCAGTAGTATTTGTCTGCCATTGACAGCAAAGACAATTTTTATGGCATAGTCTGCACCAGTGCCTCAACACAGTGGTAAATATTTCAGCATTAAAAGCTAAGGAGAAAACAAGAAAGACTATACTATGCAGAGTTTTAGAATAAAGTCACGCACAGTGGAGTTGGGTACTGAAAACAAAGATTAAGCACCCAACTTTCTCAGTCGATGTCAGTACTTACACTAAAGAGGTTTTGTGTGTATTCAACAGATGTGGTAGTTAGGAACAGTTTCAAGGAAGAAATAACACGTTGCCATTAGAGCCGTCTCTCCACCCTAAGTTCCTTTTCTTGGCTGAGCTTTTAGGACCACAGGCCTGGATGTTTACAACTGATAAGAAATACCAAGAAGAGAAGGGTGAGCAAGAGCCTCAGGGTCCATCACAGCTATCCCAAATCAGACCCCTACATCACCCATGCTTGGGAGGATGAGCATGAAAGGGGCATATCGCCTGAGATGAGCTCTAGCTCTGAAGATGTGGATTCAAATCCTAACTAGTGTGTGATCATGAGCCTACTGGTCCCAAGACTCAGTCTGCCTGTATGTAAAAATGGGAATATTGTTAGAATCTCCTTCTGATGGTTGTCAGGAGGATTAAACTGGGCAACACTTTGAAAGGGCTCAGCATAGTATCCAGCTAACAGTTAAGAGCTGAGTGAGTGTTTGTTGATATACACAAACAGGTCAAGTAATACAGGAGCCAAGCTATTCAGTGGCCTCTACTCATTACAGAGGAAAACATTCTATCCCAGATTTAGCAGGAGAAGGTGACCTTCTTGATCAGGATACCCTGCCCACAGGACATCTTTGAACTAGAATTAGAATTGTTTCCATTTCACTTAAATTGAGCTTAGCAATATTTCCCTGACTTGCTTTCCCATTTCAAGGGCAGCCATTTACTATCCCCACTTCAATATTATTCTTCAAATTATGTGTAACCTGCTAGCGAGTACATTGACTGAACAACAAACTCACCCAGAACCTCCAAGTTCTGAGCAGTGGTTGTAGTGCTGATAAGGAGGGAGTGACAATTTGCAGGAAACATCAGTGATATTTGAAATAGTCTCTGTCCTTGAAAAACTCATAAGCATATGAGTGCCAATAGACACTTAAATAAACAACAATAATAGTGATGGTTTGGTATAAAGAATAAGAGTGTGGACTCTGAGCAAGACTGGATTCAAATCCAGGCTCCACCACTCATCATGTTACATTGGGTGCATCTCTTAGTCTCTCTATGCCTCATTTTCCTCATCTATTAAATGGGCATGAAAACTTCCTATTTCATAGCATTGAATGAATTAGTATGCATAAAGCATTTGGAATAATGCCTGGCACATAAACTTTACCCTAAAAATAACAAATGAAAATTAAAATTTGGTGTGTTTACTAGGGACCCAGCACTGTGTAATGGCTTTGTGTGGATTATTTTATCCTAGCCTCAAAAGCAAAAGCACATACTAACCTTAGGTAACTTACTTGACCTTGGATGTAAATTGCCCTTAATGAAAATCTGTCTATAAAATTGTTGAAAGGACTCAATAAATTAATATGTGCAGAGTTAGGGCCAGGCTTGTACGAAGTAAGTCTCAGCAAAAGGACCTACAGAGTTCAAACTGTTTGCCATATTCACACAGCTAATTGATTAGGATTGTATCATGATTTTATCCCAGGCATGCTTTTACCAGCTTACTATAGTGACTGATTCAATATGGCAAACACCCAGAGGTCTCTGTACTGCATTATGAAAGCACACATCCACCAGTCCTGCCTGGGAGGATCAGAAAGTTTACATGAAGCAGATGATTCTTTCTTTTCTCTCCTTCCTTCCTCCCTTCCTTCTGTTTTTCCTCCCTCCCTCCCTCCCTTCCCTCTCATTATAAAAATGGCAGTAGACATTCACTTACTTTGGTCTGATGCAATAGTAATGACTCAGCATACACTAAAAAAATGTTACAAACTCTTGTGGGTCAAGAGACATGATCGTTTATCACAGTCTGAGATGTAGTCACACGTCACGTGGTTATGCCAGGCTTCAGTCATGGCTGGTCTGACTCAGCCTGAAGCCAAGAGGAAAGCAAATGTGGCTAATTAAGACTAGAGGGAATGTTTAAACTGTGTGCAACTGATACTCCAGCCACCGTCTCCATGTTTTCCTGGAGATGAAATCCTGCTCACAACCGAGTATTACCGTACTTCTCAAGATCCTTGCAGTTGTCCGGGAGAGACTTGAGGGGAAGGACTTGGCACTTTGGGAATTATCCTGGTGGCACACCTGAAGAACGTTGACCGATGAGAAAGGACAAGTAGTGATTCTTGAATTATGCTTCTATTTACACTATAATTATAACATTGAAATCTAAAGCTTTGCTTCTGCAGGAAGAGCACAGGCCTTGTGTCCCTTCAAGGCCTCCATAAACACAGGTTAATGGCTCTCACATCTACAGTGCCTGTAAAGGAGCAGTGAACCCCGGAATGAAACAGTGCATCTCATCATTCCTTTGAAAGAACAACAAAGCTCTCTTGGCTGTTTGGTGAAAGATCCCCAAATAAATACATCCTTAAGAAGTACAAATAGGTTTCTTTACTAATGACTTAGAACCTACTGGGTAAGCACTCCCTGAAATTGTGTTGAGCTCCAAATAAAAGACACCTCCCCCTCCTGCTAATTTTTCTTTCAACTTCAGAAACCAACTGATTGGCACAAGACACTAAAACATACTTGTTCCCAGCTAGAGCTCATTACTGAGATCCTCTCCAATTTCAATCCCTAGATAAGGAAGCTTCACAAGCAGGTTTATAGCGGTAGTAGTTCCACAAACTCCTCCAAGGTAAAAGGATTCTTGTTCCAGTAAGTGCGGAAGTATCACAAGGATATATAAAGTAACTTGAAATGGGTTTTACAAAGCCATTTGTAATCCCTAGTGATGCACATTATTACATTAAGGGATCTGCAATAAAAAAAGAAGTATTGAACTGTGTTTAATGTAATGCTTCAACTGGCTTAATGCATGTTTAATGCAACACATTTGACCATAGAAATTTAAAACACACATATATATAAAATATATATTTTATGTATTTCTGTACCTAATTCTATGGAAAGACCAATATCTATCCTGAAGAGATGGTATCTAATGAAACACGTGACAAAACGCTGGTCTTGGTTGAACTGTGTTGGTTGTGTTGACATCTGGGTCACAGGTAAGTGAGACTGCTTTCCAAGGAGCTATATGCATGACTTGATGTCCGTGGGAAGTTGGCTATGAAGAGGATTATGTGCTAGAGCAGAAGGAGAAACTTGGAGTGCAGGAATCACTGAAAGTGCAAACACAATGGCAATGGAGAAAAACAGCAAGGCCTCTGAATAACCAACACCAGCTCCATCCCCCACCAATGCTTACATGTCCCAGCAGCTTAGTTTTGAACCCTGAAGAAGAGATGTTTAAAACCAAAGGCTGTCTTCCTGAGCAACTCTGTGAGGTCCAGTCACTGGCTTGTTGATTCAGGTGACATGTGGTTCAGTGACAGGTGACAGAGCACAAGGCTGAGGGCAGGCAGCTCAGGGGAGCAGTGTCCTCCTAGGGCAGCTGTGTCCCAGGCTCGACAAGGAGGTCAGACGGAGGCTCATGAGTAGATGCATTCCAGGGCATATGGTTAATACCATCTGCCCCGAGATGCTCCTGAAGACCTGGGGACATGCTGTATAATCCAAAGACAACCAGTTGTTGCAGTTAGTGTGTGTAGAGTTAGTCAATCTTGAGGACATATTAATTGTGCTTGCAATCTCTAAGACTTACTGGATTTTCACAAGACATTTTAATTTCATATGTAAAATACCCCAATCCATTCTTCCTCATTTACCCTTAAGCATGACTAAAATCAGCCCAGATAATTTGGAGTCACTCTGTCTGTAAATACATGCTTTGTAAAACCCATTTCAAGTTACTTTATATATCCTCTTTTCAAAATCTTGTTAATTCTATTCTAATTACCCATGAACAGCCATCTCCTCTCACCTCCTCAGTGAGTGCTGTGTGTGCATATTATGGCCCTGGTTACTGTCATGCTCATGGGACAGAGCATAAGCCTTAAGAGCTGCCTAAGAAAACAAAAACAAAACAAAAAACAGCCTTCAAGAAACAAAACCAAGAAAGTCCTGGTGTCATGCTATGGGAGGGACTTGTGATCTTGTAAGAAATATTTAACATGAATATTATTGTAAGAAAATGCTCATACACATCTAGCATGGGGGTCATTCTGCAGGATAATGTCTGAGAATCTTCAAAGGGCACAGTACGATGAAGAACAGAGGAAAGTAATGGACTTGTCTGGATTAGGGGAGACAAAGACATATGAGCCAATGAAACACAAGGAAGTTAATTGAATCCTGGATTAACATTTTTTTAAAAACCTCAAAAGAACATTCTTTTTTTAAATTTAGAAAACTTGAGTATAAGCTGCATGTTGGATAATGTTACTGAATCAATTATTTTCTCAGATATGATAATGGTATTCTGGCTGAGGAAGAAAATGTCCTTATTCTTGGGTGATGCCAGATAAAGTATTTAATCAGGGCAGGAAAATGTATGATGATGTTTGCAGACTATTCTTTTGGTGGTATGTGTGTGTATGTGTGTGTATATGCAGAGAGAGAAAGAGACAGTATATGTAGCAAAATGGTAACACTTGGTGAACCTAGGTGAAGATATATGGTCCATTCATGATACTGTGTTTCCAACTTTCCTGTGAATCTGAAACTCTTGAATTAAACAAATATATTTTAGAATGAAAAATTCACAAAAAAATAAAGAAAAAATGAGGAAATAATCCATAGGCAGTCACTGGCTTGTTGATTCAGGTGACATGTGGTTCAGTGACAGGTGACAGAGCACAAGGCTGAGGGCAGGCAGCTCAGGGGAGCAGTGTCCTCCTAGGGCAGCTGTGTCCCAGGCTCGACAAGGAGGTCAGACGGAGGCTCATGAGTAGATGCATTCCAGGGCATATGGTTAATACCATCTGCCCCGAGATGCTCCTGAAGACCTGGGGACATGCTGTATAATCCAAAGACAACCAGTTGTTGCAGTTAGTGTGTGTAGAGTTAGTCAATCTTGAGGACATATTAATTGTGCTTGCAATCTCTAAGACTTACTGGATTTTCACAAGACATTTTAATTTCATATGTAAAATACCCCAATCCATTCTTCCTCATTTACCCTTAAGCATGACTAAAATCAGCCCAGATAATTTGGAGTCACTCTGTCTGTAAATACATGCTTTGTAAAACCCATTTCAAGTTACTTTATATATCCTCTTTTCAAAATCTTGTTAATTCTATTCTAATTACCCATGAACAGCCATCTCCTCTCACCTCCTCAGTGAGTGCTGTGTGTGCATATTATGGCCCTGGTTACTGTCATGCTCATGGGACAGAGCATAAGCCTTAAGAGCTGCCTAAGAAAACAAAAACAAAACAAAAAACAGCCTTCAAGAAACAAAACCAAGAAAGTCCTGGTGTCATGCTATGGGAGGGACTTGTGATCTTGTAAGAAATATTTAACATGAATATTATTGTAAGAAAATGCTCATACACATCTAGCATGGGGGTCATTCTGCAGGATAATGTCTGAGAATCTTCAAAGGGCACAGTACGATGAAGAACAGAGGAAAGTAATGGACTTGTCTGGATTAGGGGAGACAAAGACATATGAGCCAATGAAACACAAGGAAGTTAATTGAATCCTGGATTAACATTTTTTTAAAAACCTCAAAAGAACATTCTTTTTTTAAATTTAGAAAACTTGAGTATAAGCTGCATGTTGGATAATGTTACTGAATCAATTATTTTCTCAGATATGATAATGGTATTCTGGCTGAGGAAGAAAATGTCCTTATTCTTGGGTGATGCCAGATAAAGTATTTAATCAGGGCAGGAAAATGTATGATGATGTTTGCAGACTATTCTTTTGGTGGTATGTGTGTGTATGTGTGTGTATATGCAGAGAGAGAAAGAGACAGTATATGTAGCAAAATGGTAACACTTGGTGAACCTAGGTGAAGATATATGGTCCATTCATGATACTGTGTTTCCAACTTTCCTGTGAATCTGAAACTCTTGAATTAAACAAATATATTTTAGAATGAAAAATTCACAAAAAAATAAAGAAAAAATGAGGAAATAATCCATAGGCAAAAATGATATAGCTTTCTTTGGTCTAGGTTTTTTGGTACAGTTATCTCCCCTTCATTACCCTAGGTTTCATGCAGTATTTTCTATCCTTTTTAAGAAATAAAGAAGGTGTCTAAAAGACTATGATTCCCTCTATATCTCCCCTTTAATAAATGTTTCTTTTCTCTCAGATAGCTCAACAAATCAGGGCACTCTTCCTCACCTGTTACCCAGTGACTTTTTCAGGAACCAAGAGGTGGATCTCACACATCATGACGAGTTAAGACACGCTCTTGAGTGTGGCTGAAGCATGGATTTCGAGTTCAGCGTTTCAAAACCAGAGTAAGTTAGCTGAGGCAATGCCTGGGTGGCTCAAAGAATTCAGGTTGAAAAGATTGATTGCTGACCCCCTCGAGAAAACCCAATCCTCACACCTCTAAAATGTTCCCAGAATATCCTCTTGGATGTTTACATGAGAAGGAATGACCTCTGTGCCACAGTTAGAAGCTCCTTGAGCAGATTTTCCAGTAAGACCAGGTAGGGCTAGACTCATGGTCATCAAAAGAAAGGTCAAAGGCAACAGAGATTGACCTAAAGAAGATAAACTTTGTAGAACACAGGAACACTGCTTCCAAGTATCCACATTGCTTAAATACAGAATAGAAACTAGATAAATTATCTGTGGCCCCAATACATAGATATCAGTCACAGATCAATTTCGACTGAAGAACAAGAATGAGTATTTTTAAAGGGAAGCGGCCACACGTGGAATAGTGCGATACCCCTATAGGTAGTAAGCACCCCACCAAAGGAATAATGGAAATGGAGGCTGCAGTACCACTGGGTGAGGCACTATTTTAGGAATAATTGAAGCATCAGGAGAAGGTGTAACTGGAAAATCTCTTCTAAGATCTCCTTTTGCCCAGTCACGTGTCTCTGTTCTTTACTCTCCCCGCGACAAAGCAGCCTCCTTGAAATAGGCCCAATGGCAATAGCGCTGGTCACTAAGACCCTGCTCTTTTCATGCACTGTGTCCTTGGCTATTTGGAAAAGCTTAGCATGGAACCATCAAAGCGTGTCACCTGGCACAGCAGGGGGGCCACAGGAGCTAAGGTGCCTCTTGGGGAGCCTTCTAACTCTCAACATTGGTCTTTGTGCATCACCCCTTGATCACCAGGTACCCTAGACAGCCTGCTGAAAAGAAGTCAGAGGCTCTCAAGCTCCCAGCGGGAAAACCTTGGAGCCCTGTTGTTGGAAATAGCTCCCAACCTGCATCTCAGGCAGGTATTTTTAGGTTCTGTCTTGAAGACACAGAAACTTTCACACATTTCAGCTTCTTTGTCTGGAGTCACTGCAACCCCAGACATGTCATTGAAATGGGGTATAATTGTGGTCTCCTCCACCCACCAATCTGAATGAGTCTAAAAGAGCTTCCTGCTGTGCAGGAGAGAGCATGGAGAGTCTTTTCTGGCAAGGGAAAGTCAAAATGGATTTTTTAAAATAATAATATGTTGATCAAGAAGAGAAAAAAATGTCTGTTGAGGAGAGGGGGCTTGGCATTTGGGCTGATATGGAGGGGAAGGTTACCTATTATTTTGAAATGTGGTCTTAGTTCTCTTTTGCAAGCTGCAGATTTCAAGCTTGGAGGAGCTAATGTCTCACATTTGAAGTTAGAAAATAAAGATGCTTGGAATCAGCTGAGTTGGATCAATGGCTGTTATTAATACGAGGCTTTCTGAGGAATAATTATAATTGTCAGTCACTGGGCATAGCCTGACACTAAAAGGAGAAATAGAAGATAAATCAAAATGATGCAGGGCAGATATAACTGGCAGGAGAATTCTGCTAGAGCAGAGGAGCTGGGAGAAAGAACGTGTGAGTTTCCAAGAGCATCTGGCCACCATCTCACCATGGGGCACATCAACCAGAGTGACCCAGGGCCTGTGTTTTCAGGGAGCTCAGAGACAATTGTCTCAAGGGCCAACTGATCCCAGATGTCCGAGTGGGCATTAGGTCCCTACAGCTCACTTGACCATGGGAAGCAACATGATTGAATCACTCACAATAATGTGCCAATTACCCCTGCCATCCACGGGTCTGGATACAAGACAACAAAGAGAAGCTGGCTGCAGTGAAGGGTATGTGTGAAATAGGTTTAAATGGATGATGGGCCATTTTCATAGGAGTAAAATAGTAAAGCATTTGCCCACACAGTCTAGAAAGGAGATCACCAATCGTCAACTTTCTAAACTTAACTTGATTGGAAAGCAAGTAACTTCCTACAGGAATGGGATTTAAGGAGGCTCAGGGGACCCTGCATGATGGCTTCTCCCAGTCCCGCATCCATCAGGAGGAAATTGATGATCAAGAAAAAAAAATTCTATTCAGGGTGGAGGCTCTGAGTTTGGGCAAATGAGTCCAACAGTTATGCTTCTAAAAGATTATGCTGCCTTCTGAGGCTCAATTATTTAATATACAACATTTAATCCAGAGATCACCTGACCCTTGCCAAGCTTCACCTCTCACACACCCACAGAGAGCAAGCCTGACCTAGTAGGTGACTATGTCCTAAGTTTGATCCTAAAAGCTTTTACTTGATCTTCATAACAACCCTATAAAGAAGGAACCATTATTATCTCTATTTTTAAAATGATGGAGCCATGGCTACATGGGATTAAATATCTGGCTCAAAGATCCACAGCTACTGAATGAGCAGAGTTTGAATTCTGAATTCTGACCTGGATTCTTAACCACTAGGCTACCCTCCCTTCTATTTGAAGCACTGTCTCACTTTCTCTTTATGACAACTATATGGAGTTGTTCATCCCACTGACAATCAAGAGGAGAAAGCTACTTGGAAAGTCACTTGGAAAAACAGTGGGCAAGTCGGAACCCAAACAGCCCCAACATTGAGCCCAGGGAAGATAACAGAGCATGGTCCCCAGCCACTGAGTATTCATGCAGCCACACCGTGTGAGGACCCCCAGCCAGCAGGGACTGTGATGTGTCACATGGCCCACCCCCTCTGGCAGGGTGGGAGGCGGAGCCAGGCAGGCAGACCAAGAGGAACAAATTGCAAAGCCTACAGAAGAGACCACCATGTAAATACCTGTACACCTTTTAGGTTCAAACTGTGTATTAAAATAGCCAAAATTTGAAACAAACAAACAAACAGACCCTGGCCTGTCAAGTTGTGAAAGTTCAGAGCTGAGCAGAGAAGTGGTTTCATGCCAACTTTTCATAGAAAGTGAAAAAGCAGAGGGCAACTTAATGAAACCATAACTGAGCTGCTGAGAAAACTTCACTTCTTACTGGAAGGAAATTATGCTGGGCTGGAAGCATCGATTATGCAGAGTTGCTTATTATTACATCTTTTCATCTTCTACATTGGCTGGAAAGAGCAGGAATAAGGAAGATAAGGAAAAAGAATCTGAGATCTCCCCATTCCCAAGCAGCTCGCTTTCATGAAAGGAACTTTTTTTTAGCTCTATTGAGGTATAATTGATAAATAACACTGTAAGATATTTAAAGTGTACAATATGATTATTTGATATATGTACACACTGTGAAAGGATCCTCCCATGAGGTTAATTAACATGTCTGTCACTGCACATAGTTACCAAATTTTTTGGTGAGAACCTTTAAGTTCCACTGTTAGCAAATTTTGATTATATGATGCAATGTTATCAACTATAGTCACCATGTTATACATTAGGTCCTCAGACTTTATTCACCTCAGACTGAAAGTTTTGTACCCTTTTACCAACTTCTCCCTCTTTCCCTCACCCCTGGGCAACCACTTTCTACTCTCTGTTTCTGAGATGGACCTTTTGTTTTTTAAGTTTAAAAGGAAGTGTTTTTTCAGTTATCAGTAAGAACCAAGCAGAAGCCAGTTCCATATTAACTCAGGAGCTGGACATAGCCTTGCAGAGACAAATCTGAAACCAGAAGCGGACGGGCTTATGAACTCCGGGTCTCAGCATCTCATGAGGTGTGTGATTTCCACTGTCAGCTGGAACTTCCATCTACTTTGGATATTTCTATCAAAGAGTTTCTCAAAGGCAGGGATTGTTTTTACTCATCTTTGTATCCTTTTGTGCCCACAGAAAGCTCTGAAGCTGAACTGAAATAGTTGAGATGGTGGGAGAAGGTGCTTGTTTGAGATCCAACTAACTGTTCTGTCCCTGAAAATTGGTCTCTCTGTATTTTGACTCCTACTTGTAGACTGAATGGAGCTGCTTGAGATTTTTTACTGTTACTGTTAAAAATGTTGACTGTTACTGTCTGTTTACTAACTGTTACTTATTTGTGACTATTACTGTCATTTTAATAAAAAACTATGCACATACAGAATAAAAAGAAAGAAACATTTGCTGCATTGAATGCTCATCCTATACCTCCCAAGTGTCCAGGTCTGGAGAAAAATACATGTTCACCAACTAACCTGTGATACCATTCCCCCAATGGCAGATTCAGAAATATTAAGCGTGGTTTTTCAGAAGCAATAGCCATTCCTTGCCATGTCTGTTTTATACAATCCTCGAAAAGGAAATACAGTAAATAAGAGCAAATGCCACCACGATCTTTAATTGCAGGTCCCAGGATACTTAAAAGATGTTGGGTAAAAATTATGCCCTGTTATTGAATGTCAGGGGCCCTGCTCTATAATTGTGTTTATTCCTGTTCATCCCAAGAAAGCTACTGGCTTTATGTAAGGCACACATTTTCATCAAGCATCTATTGTGTGAGATGCTAGTTTCTGCTCCCAGGCTGGTGGGTCTCTGCTGTTGAAGGTGAGTGTCTCAGCACCCAGCTAAGCAGTCCTAAATGAGTCTGTCCTTCATGCTTGTGCTGACTTGCCAAACACTTCCAGCAATGAAAATAACCAGGGAGAATCAAGAGCAGATCCGAAGAGATGCCCGGCTTCACCCCATCACGTACCACCTCCCCCAACAAGTGACTGTTGGATCCTCCCAATCTTTATTTTTCCATTCAAGTTGGGGAGGATCAGGACAAAAGAGAAAGAAAACAGGAAGCACGAGGAGAGGGCAGCCCGGCGTGTATGACTAAATGTCAGGTTGTACAGGAGAGTTATAATTAAAGTCCAAGATGACAGATAACCATAAAATCAGATTGGTTCCTTTCCACATGGAAGGAAAACATAATGTTGTCGTCCAACCCAAGCTTTTTTTGTAAATTGAAATTACAGTTTTATTTGGAGCTATTTTTAAAGGTCCATTAATTAAAAATTGGAAGCCATGCCAGTGCAAGAAATACCATAAAAGGTGTTAGATTTAATGATCACCAAGGACTATAATTAAAAGATGATGTTATCTGAATATCAAAAGCTCTAACTCCATGTTTGTTTTTGATTGAAAATAAACAAATTCAGGAGCAGAAAAAAAAATAGAAAAGATATGTACAAAATGGTTGACTTCTAAACAGCTAAGGAAATTATAGTCATCATGTGTGGGAAAAGAACAAACACCTCTTAATTGCATTTCATTATAACGTACCTTTCTCTGCTCAGTTGTATATATTAATTATAAAAATCGTGTTGCAGAGCAGAGAGGCTCTACAATAGTCTTTTCTCCCCTCTTCCTCCCTTAATTCTGTCTGAAGCAGGATAGAAGAACAATATCATCTGTCATCTGCAGAAAGAGCTTTCAAAGACAAAATCATAAAAAGAATGAAAGGCTATTATATAAAATAGAAAAAAATGCTTTGATTTCACAGATTTCCCACTTATTAATGTTTAAGGTTATCTGTTCTTTTAGAAAAGTATCTTCTTATATTGTTTTGTATGTGTACATTCAGGTAACATTACTTTCTGATAACTGTATCGCATAGCATATGCATTACGTAGATATTGTTAATGGAAATGGGGAGTGGGTGGGAAGCAAGCATTATTATGGAAAGATTCCATGCAGGACTTGAGGAATTCTATAAGAAAATGATTGCTTGGCTTTGAAACCAATGTTTTGATAAGGAAAACCAGATGCTCTCTATCCCTACAAAGGGCGATGAGGGAAGTAATAAGCTTGCCGTACAGTAAGGAAGCCTCCATCTAGGCACTGCAAGGGCTAGGAGAATGCCAGTGTTTTAAGACAGTGGAATGGGGTAAGCCAAAGTAGCATTCAGAATCCTGCTTATCAGAAATCTATTGAAGCAGGTGAAATCCATCTGTTTGGCAAGGGTTACGGTATGATTATAGAAAGAAATAGAGATCTTAACCTGGGCTTTTCGGAAATGTATGTGCAGTATTGTAGTTTTCTGAACAGATGGCCATAACTTAGCAGACTTTCAGCTGAATCTGTAACCCAGAGAGACTTAAGAACTTCTCCTCTAGGCCCTTAGCACTTAATGTGTGGTCCAGGGACCAAGCACTGGCATCACCTGGGAACTTCTGGGATAGAATCTCTGGTTTCACCCCAGACTTGCACAATCAGAATCAGCATCTAAGCAAGATCCCTAGGTGATCCACGTGCACTGTAAAGTGTGAGATGTGCTGATTTAGATGAGCCAGTGATGACAATTGGTGGTGCTGGAGAGCCAGAGCCATGTTTCTCCAGCTGTGGCTGTGGGTCCTGCAGGCTCAGCTTTAATCCTGGGCTCTGCCACTGACTGGCTGGCTGTGTGATCTGAGGTCTTCAGGAGGAGGTGACAATACCTCTCTCATATGAGCATTGTGAAAATTAACTGAAACGTGTGTAAAGCCTTTAACAGAGTACCCAGCACATAGAAATCACTTAGTAACAATTACTAATCCCTGGGTCTTTGTCACATTCTGGAAATTACCCATGACATCAAAAATGTTGTGACCTATGAGTCAAAAGCAGTGGTTCTCAACCAGGGGCAATTTTTCTAAAGACACGTTTGACTGTCCTGACCTATCTGAGGGATGCTGTAGAGGCCAGGGATGCTGCTATCTCACCCACAGTGAATGAGACAGCCCCCCCACAAGAAGGGTTACCTGGCACAAAAATCTCAAACTTGTGCAGGTGTTAAGCCAGCATTAGAGTTCTATGAGTACTTAGAAGGTTACCTGTCTCTTTAACTTTAAAACTGAAAACGCAAAAGAGAATCGCTATGCTTGAATATGTCAAAAATCTGAGTAAGGTTCCTACAGGGATTTCACCCCTGCAAGGAAAGCAAAGAGTAAATGATCAGCCTATCAGGATTAGGTCTCCCTCACCCTGTTCTGTCACCCATACTTCACCACCCTGTTTATTTGCTTGGCGCACACTTTGTGCTCAATAACTATTATTCACTTATTATTGCTTGATTTCGCTCTGCCTTCCTTGGAGGCCTTGAGAGGGGATCTTTCAGCTGCCTGTATCCCTGATGCCTAGTCCCATGCCTGGCATGAATGGGAGCTTCTGAAGTGTTTGTTCAATGAGTACATTTATGCCAGACTGCCCAGGAGATGTCAGTGAGACCCACTGGGCAGTTTAATATACCTGTTCTGGTCCCTCTGCCTCTTTTTAAAGAACTGACAAAAACAGAATAAAACCTTGAGCTCAGGATTATTTTGAAATCTCATAAGGATTCCCAGAAATGAGATGTGATAAAAGAGAAGAAGCTATGCAGATGCACGCCCATCCCTGAGCAGCAAGGCAGTGTAGAGAAGACAGTAGGTTTCAGTACTTTTTTTTTAAGAAAGTGAAAAAGAAGACGGACTCTGGGGTCAGGCAGAAATAGATTCAAATTCTCATGACCATTTATTAACCAAGTGACTTGGCTTCCCTGCTCGAAGCCTTAGTGTTGTCACCTAAAATGGGACAATCATCAGAGAAGGTATTCTGAGGATGGAAGGACGTCACACAACCATTCAACAAATACTGACTGCAGGCCTACATGTGTGGAGCACTGTGCCAAGTGCTAGTGCATAGAAACCATTAGCCACAGTTACATACCACTGACCCTCTCACAGGCCAGCAGGGTCCATGAAGTCCCTGGCAGGGATCCCGGACTTTGCCTACCACTTGGGCAAGAGTAATAGTGACTGGAGGAACATGCCATATTGGTGCCCAGTGATGTTTGGCTTAGTAAAAAGAACCAAAGAATGGTTTAAAATAGTTTGTCAGCAAATTAAGTTGTCCTTTGTCAACCCTAGGTGGAGGGACACATCAAAATAATCTGGTCAAATAAATGACTGCTTTTGGAAATTGCTTTTGTGAAAGGTGTGGATCTCTGTGTTAGTTCCAATATCTGAAAAGTAGACCTAACTTCAATATCCAAGGAAATGGAGAAACATTTGGGAAATTGGAAAAGTCAATGTAATGGAATTCCTTTTTAACATTTAAAAATTAAAATGGCAGAAATCCATGGAAAACATAAATATATGGAAGAAAAAGGTGTACGTACATATTCCTCCCTGAATAATCTAGCTCTTTGGTCATACTGTCCAAGATAAAATGCAAGAAATGAATAGAATTATATTAGAGTGTTAAGTACATGTTCTGTTCATTTTTTATCCAAAATCTTCTTTAATCCTTCTAGAACTTCTTTCCTATTAATCTCTATAATAATAATTAAATACTTTAGTGCTAGATTAATGACTAAGAATTTTCTATTTAGAAAAAAAATACTCTAAGGAAGGTCCCAGAAGAGGGAAATAAATAAAAACACATTGGAAAAATTAAATATGGCCAGTGGGTAAACTGTAATTATCTAGCTCTTAACAGTTTGAAACAGAATGTTATGCAGATGGTCATTTACATGCTTAACTAGAGAGAAAAGAAGTAGGTATTTTATCTGGGAGGGAAAAAGGCAAACAACTGTGCTTTGAAAGCAAAGACTCACTGGGTAAATTTTCATCCCTCCTCAAAGTTGAGTCTTCTTAGCACAACAAGATCCTGGACTATGGCTGCTCTGCCACAGGGCACATTGAAATGTTCAATGATCATGCATTGAGGGCAGAAAGATCTATTTCCAAATACCTACTTCACCTCTTCCTTGTCATTTGACCTTGGGCAGGCTGCTTAACTTGTCTGAACTTCCCTTTGTTCATCTGTAAAATGGAAATAATATTCCTTATTCATGGGCTGTTTAAAAGATTAAATTAAACTAAGCTTTAAGTAAATGTGTAATATCTAACTCTGAAAAGTATCTATCAATTATAGAGTTACTATTGCTACTCTATTAGAGTGCTCTTACACACTCCTTCATTCCTATTTGTGAGTGAGGAAATTTGGGGTGTTTGAATGAAGGGATCTTTTTTACCTTCAGCCATCTACACCCAAACTCAAACTCCCAACCTCTGGGATTCTAACCATCACTAATTGCTTCTCCCTGAGCTGTAACAGCCGTGCCTTTCCTGTTGGGTAGTTGATGAGTCAATCA